GCATATATTGCGATTATCAATAATATTTCAATTAGCTGTGCAGCTCTGTTACAAATATAGCTCCCTTTCTTTAAATACAACAGTATGACTGACCAAAGACCTTGAGGCTGTTTAGGAAGAATGTACTTTAACTGATCCATGCAACATGGAACAACAGAGACTCAAAGTCAACACCTCCAATGATTTCTACACTTTGAGATACAAAAATAGACTCCACCGAACAGTATAGACATTATGAATTCAGTGCGGGACATCTTTTATTTTTGTATACAAATTTATATCGTCCAAGTTTCCTGGGTCTGCATCTCTTCAAATATTTTCCTAAGAGCGCAACATCTGAGGAGCACCAACGTCCATGTTAGTTTCAGCACTGAGCGAAGAAAATGATCAAAACAGATTTGAGGTACTTGTGCTCAACTAACAAGATACAACACTTGTTAAAAACAGAACAACAGATGATTGTGGTGTTTTTCTCTGGTGGTTATGATTAGTGGATACTGATGGCCAGTGCATGTGGGGACACAGTGACTTTTAGGTCCCTAAAATATTTCAGCTGTTTATTGTGATAATACAAATATTGAACAATATGAATCCAGCCATCCATTGTGCTGTAAACACTTTCAGAGTAATAATCATCATTAAATTCTCCTGTCCAAGGCCAGAACACACAGTTTCTAACTTTAAGGCCCTCAACATCTGTTTGTGAGATTCAAAAGGACCCCTTGTGAAAGGGGAATGTACTCAGTGGTAGAGCGCTGTGCCTATCGCAATGTACCAAGGTCCTGGGTTCAATCCCAGCATCACTCCAGTGTTTCTGAGTCTATAACCTGTTTTAAACATCTGAGAGAGATAAATAATATGGAAAGTTTAACAGATTGCCATGTAACAAACTCCTGAGGAGAGATGATCAACATAGATGTATAATTAATGGATGTCATTATTTAACAATTTGTGGAATTATCATTTTTTTCATTACAAATTTTCACAAAAAAAACCAATTTAAAATCATGATGATACGGACATTTTGGCAAATTGTTTTTCTTTAATCATGGTGAACAAGATTTGTAAGGCCAGGGACATCGATCAGAACTACAGTTTTCATTATAATTCTGTTGTGCTCGCACTTTTATATTTATTTAAAAAAAAGGACTTTGCAGCTTCTGTTTTAGAGATTTGCGAGTTATTGATATTTATTTGATGAACTGTTCTAAGCTGTGGCATTTAATCTGTCGTTGGAGGAATTGAACATATAAAAGCAGCAGTAAACAAAATCCCATACTAGTTGCATAACTTTTTGATCTCCAGTGCACTTGGTATGTTTAATCGATCTATCAGACATGTTAGTTTTTCCTATCAATAACCAGAGTTTTCCTAGGACTTTAGACCCACCTTGCATCTTGTGAGACAAAAGAAGTCCAGTGTGAAGGGACATGAGCCTCAGTGTAAGAGCGTGTGCTTCCGCATGTACTATAGGCGTCTGGGTTTCAATCCCAGCCATCTCCACTGTTTCTGAGTCTATACTGTTAAGGTCTTGCTGCTAAACGTCTACAGACAAGCAGTAGAAAGTGTAGTTGATGCCGACATTGGTAACTGCAGCTTCTGTAGGAGAATGATGAGGTCCAGAGGTCATAGAACGGTGCATAAGTCCGGTGCAAACAGTTACTGTTGTGATGGAATGATGTTTGAGCTGAAAAATAGGTTTGTGAAGAGCAGTGAACACTGAGGATTGGAAAAGGCAAAAACATCATATTTGTGGTGTATTTTTGACAGATATTGCAATATCACCTTACAATTTACTGGAAAACATCTTTTTAGAACTACAGTTCTTTATTATAAATGTTGTGTTTTCGCACATTTTACTTATTTATCAAAAACTACAGTTTCTGCCGATTTGGATATTGCAGCTTTTTGACATTTTGATTAACCTGTACTAAACTACGTGACCATACGCCACGTGGGGAGACATAAAAAGCAGTAGTAAACACAAATCCCCCCCCATTTCTTGTGAGACAACAAGGAGCCAATTGTGAAGGTGATGTAAGGCTAGTGGTACAGCGCTGTCTTTGCATGTACAAGGTCCTGGTTTCGAGTCCTCAAGCATCTCCCTATGTTGTTTATGTGTCTGGATCTGTTCAAGGGAGGTCCTTGCTGCTCACTTATCTGAGAAAAGATGAACAGTGGAATGTGCCAGCAGGATTGCCCAATGTTACACTGAACCTCTGAGCAGACATGAGGAAAGCCATTGTAAGACTTCATCAGTTGAGATTGACATGATGATTATTATGTTAGTTCATGTAATATTTAGTGGGCCGATATGGGATCTTATAAAGCTGAATGGCCAGTAGGGCTGCTATCCATATGGTAAAAAACATCTTTACTTCCAGATATTTTACAATTTGATTGGAATTATCATTTTTTCATTAAAATTTTCCACTAAAAAACCATTAAAAATCATGATGATGGACATTTTTTGATAGTTTTTTCTTTAATCTGGTGACAAGATTTTTTAGGCCAGGACACTCATCAGAATAACAGTTCTTCATTACAATGGTTGTTGTGTGCGCATTATTTACTTATTTATTTATAAAAAAACTACACGTGTTTCTGCAATTTGGATATTCAGGCGTTTTGAAATTTCGATTTAACTGTAACTAAACTGTGAAACATACACACATGGGGAAGAACATGAAACAGCAGCAGTATAAACAAAACCCACCCCATGCCCGCCGTTTTCTTGTGTGATACAAAAACCCATTGTGAGGAGGGGAATTAGCTTCAGTGGGGTAGAGCGTGTGGCTTTTGCATGTTATAAGGATCCTGGGTTGCAATCCCCTCAGCCATTCGTCATTATCATCTGTAGGGTGATGTTCACTGAGCGCTCTAACATCTGAGAGAGACGAATAGAAGAAAAGTTGTAGCCCTGATGCCCACGGTTTAGACTGACGGTCTTTACTCATTCTGAGAACTTCGGGTAAGACAGTAGACCGGTATTGACATGATGAATGTTTTATTTCTGCTGGCTTAAGTTTGCAAGGCTGGAGGTTTCACATGGTTAACAGCGAAGCACTGAGGGCTTTAAAAGTACCATTTAACTTTGGGGATAGACTTAGGCCAGGACAATAATTATCAGAACTCACAGTTTGAATGGCCAGTGACAGTGGCCTGGAGGAACACAGTTGACCAGCTTTAGTCAACTCCTCCTAAATTTTCGCACTTTTGTTGGTGTAGAGACAAATTTGACAATTGATACATAAGTCCAGCATCTTGTGGTTGTAACACCTTTCAGAGTATATTTATCATCAATTATAATAGTACTCCTGGTCCAAGCGGTACCAAAACACAGCAGTTTTCTAAACTTTAGGCTCGCAATTCTTGTGAGATGAAATTTAAGAAGCCATTTGTAAGGGGATGTAAGCATCAGTGGTAGAGCGTGTGCTTGCAAGTACCATCTATCTTGGTTCAAATCAGCCTCTCCGATGATTTCTGTGATCATAACTCTAGTAGATTTACCCTTAGTTAAAGGATCTGCCTGCTCAACATATGAGAGAGATTGAACGCATAAGTGTAGCTCATGAGAAAGAATGGATCACAGGAGAGATCAGGAACTCCACTTGGATATGGTTGTAAACCAGTGTCCATAACATATAAGTTTAAGACAGCAACATACTCGAAGTTAATTGAATGTTTAATTCATGGCTGGCTGGGTTTTTTCTCCTCAACTTTTTAATTATTCAGGCTGTTTTGTTGTGAGACAAAAAGTTATGAAGGTGGCAAGATTGGAGGATGTATGCATCAGTGGTAGAGTGTGTGTTTCGCATGTACTAAGGTCCTGGGTTCAATCCCCAGCATCTCCAGTGTTTAATACTCAGCTGATAATAATCTTGCTAACAATATGCAAATTTGGGTTGGAGGCTTAAAGATAGTTAATTGTTGAGTCTCATTCACAGCATCAGGATTTAACAACCTGGGAATGAGACTCAACCATCAACTATCTTTCTTGGTTCTGATTGGTTGAAACTATTCTGTCCCATATGGTGGCCTTGCCAACTTTCTGAGGTGGTTTTCATGATCTATCTACAGACCTTAATAAACAGGGGTGTCAGCAATGATACCGATTAAAGTTCAGTTACATTCAGGTGAAACAGAGTCAGTGTGTTTTGTACCTGTTGGCTCACTGGAAAGGATCTGTTACATTAAAGGGAACCTTCATTAGTATCATTGCTGACACCTTTGTTTAACCTGCTATTTCATGTCAAAATGGTCTGTTAATTACCCCGAAGTGACTCTCATTCATATCAGTAGCTTAGTTAATACTACATGGTTCAAGCCTGTGTGTAAAACCTCCAGACAATTTCCTCTCTTTAGGAAGTCCTCACTCTCAAAAAGGTTGGAGACCCATTGCTTACAACAGTGTACCCCAGTGTACCCTCTTTGAGCCCCTGACCAGCACAAGACATGACATACATAAAAAAAAGAAACTTAAATGCCTCAATTTAAATGTTTAGAATCACTAAATTTATGGCAAACAGTGACAGTGACAATTTGTGTCATCATGCAACAGCACTAATATGTAATTGTAATCTTTTTGCATCTTTTTGATAAGTTACTTTCAATAAAGAGAGAAAAATGGGCCTTTAAAGAGGATCTTTGTCATTCTTGGTGGCAGGCAGACTGCAGATTGAACTTTTACTGCAGTTGAAAATGAATTGAAAATATAAAAGTTGGACTTAAAGAAACAAATACTGAAGTTTGGATGTAAAGTGAGCTCCTCGGGATTGTAATAATCCAGTTACAACAGTACGCAGACCTCCAGTTAAACCTTAAACAATAAATACATAAAGACATGTCAGAGAAGAAAAAGGTGTAATCAATAAATTTAATGACACCTGAATATAACTGAGGCTTTGCTATCAGTGACACTTGTGCTTTCCCGACAATAACAATTCAACATGTTTGCTGTTAAAGTGAAGAAATAAAAGAGATTCATCAGGAGACATTTCCAGAATTAAACCAAATTTATTGCCCTTTGTTTTCTAGTAAACATTTTTAATTTCCTATCTTCATCATTTATCCATCAAAACTAATTAACACTCTGCAGTCAGTTCCCCTGATCATCTCCCTATGAATGTATGAAGTAACAAAAATATACTTAGTTAGAAAAATAAGGACCTCAGGTCATAAATTCAGGTTAAAGCCTCAAAGCCCGAAACCTCCAAGAAATTAAGTTTTTTTTTAATAGATTATATCGTGTTTTACCCCAAATGGTAGAAATTATAAGAGCTTTATATCACTTCTCATTTTAGAAATCATTTCAGTGATTGGTTTTAGTTCCTTTCAGTGCAATAACATCTGCATTACAATATCACTAATGAGAAAATAAATACAGCAAGAGTATCGACTGCGATGGATCGATCTCGTGCAGATTTAAAATCTCAAAAGTTTGACTTATTCTGAGATGATCTGAAATCTACGAGCAGATCCTGTTTGTGATTAAAAATGGTTGGCAGTACTGAAGGATTCAGTTGTTTATATTTGGGCTAAGACATGAAAAACATCTGTACTGTCCTTTAACCTGCTATTAATGAAGACCAGAGAGGTTGGCTGAAGGCTTTTGTCCCATCCACCGTTATTTTCTTTAATTTGTATTACACTAAACTGCAGTGGTGTTAATAGCACAAACAACAAACAACATTTAATTGTTCGATACAGGTTCTATGGTGCAAAAAACTGACAATAAATACAGTACAAACACATTTCAGTAACCCAGAAATTACCAGAAAAGAAAACAATCAGATTTCTAATTCAACAAGATACTTTTCTGTTTTTGTGAAGTGCATTTGTTGCATTCTGCAGTTCAATCTGAGTCTTTTGTAGCTGGTTTTATTCCTGACAACATAAAAACAAGCTCATTAATAGTCAGTAACGTGATGACAGCAGCACATTTTTATAATAAATGCTTCCTTTATTATTACTGTGGATTATTTTATCAACAGTCATTGCTGGTGGACTGAACCTCGTTTTAATTAAAATCCAGACTGCGTTTAAGGGAAATTCTCTGATAAAAGACGAATGATTTATACTTTTAATATATATCTCTGATAAATAATTTAAATGACATTCTATTAATAAATTAAGTAATATAGTTAATTTAAAAGGGATCTGAAGATTGTGTTGTTAAATAATAATCTCTGGACTGAGTTTCATGTGATCATAAACTTTCTCTTTTGCCAGAACAAAGAAAGTTTTAAAATATATTACTAGATATTAAAAACAATTACTTTGATTCCCTTAAAGATCTCTGCATCTGACCATGTATTACACATACAGATGTATTCAAATCAATCATCAGCTATAAAATTAAAACATTTATGAATTAAAAACACACACAGTGATAGACTTTCCTGGTATATATTAATTTAAGTGCATTAGTTCCTAGAAGAAAGTAGTTTTGCAATGTGAATTAATCCTTTAAAAATTAAAGACTGCACTCTTTTGTTCATGGCCAAACTTCCTCCACATTTGACTGAAATCAGTGCCTGAAATGGGCCACGTACCAACACTGGGTACCAACACCTCCACCTGCTGTTGGGTCTACGTACGCACCCCTAAACACCCGTAAAACCACATGTTTTTACTCCTCTGCCTCTGATTGGCTGGTGCGTGGTTTAGTTTAGGCGGTTGTTGTGGTGGTTAGAGTTGAGCTGAATTGGTTTAATTCAGGCACTGACTGAAATCTGTGGAGAGTTTCTGTCACGTCCTGCTCACGAAACAGGACTGAAAACATAATGTGGAATATTTATTTTGTACAATAACTTGGATTCTACGACGTCAGTGCAACATTAAAAGTCTTCCTCCTCTCACACACAAACACTCAACAGAATAACAAACACTGCATGAAAAATAAACACAGGGAATGAAAGTTTTCTTTATGTTTGGGCTAATTGTTCCCTCACTAATTGTTTTAAGTGCAAAATCATTTCCCTCTGTAGTGACGTGTGGTCAGTTCGCTGTATGTTAGTTATGAATATGAAGAAGTTCAGACCTGAGACAAACTGCTTCGTGGTTGCAGGAGTGTTTAATGTGATGTTTTTTAACGATTTCTCCTGCATGTAAACGTGTCTAAATTAGTTTAAGGGATGCGACTGAAATTGAGAATATTTTGATTTATATGCAAAGTAAAAACGGTTTGTACATAATTTATGTTTGCATGATCAATACTGTTACATACAAGTTTTTTCATTAAATGTTGATATTTTTAATAGTGTATTTTCTGTGCTTGCAGATTTCCTTGATTAATCTGCTGTTGAGAACACTTTAAAACCCTTAAAGTTCCCTTGAGGAGTCCTTGACCACTAACTATTCACATCAGTATTGTAACCAGTAACGTGATTCGTCAGTTCCCTTTTGCTTTGAGTGTTTGACTCCTGATAGAAAGCAGATCAAACCCCTCGCTGTACACTGTGTGAACTGTAAAATAAAGAAATACTGTAAAGTCATGAGAACCGTTCTGTGCTTGGTGAATATTACTGGACTTGAAATGAAAAGTCAGCAGATGTAATTACTGACTATATCTACTGTACTACCAAATGTTAAGGAGATGCAGTTTTCTACAATGGCCTGAAGATGGCGATGTGTTACCTTCTTATAAAAACAAAAGAAAGAACTTTGGCGTGCTGTAACAAACTAAAAGGATCAACAGAGAACGAGGCGTCAGACAATATTGTTACAGAAGGTGAAAGAGTAACGCTCTACCCTCCTGCTGCCATCTGTCTGTGCAGCCTCAGTGCAGCTTCCCAGTTTCCTCCAGAAGAGTACTGCTGGTGTGACTGGTGTTTGTTCTGGCAGCTCCTGGCAGTCGTTTGCTGTTTCCACCTTCTTTTATTTTTGTGACTGTGTCGTCTTCCTGTCCGCTCCTATGTGATGGACTCCTGCTGGATCTGGATGTAGCAGGCCTGCAGCAGAGTAAGTCAATTAATTGATGATTAAATGACGATTGATGATCATGAACATATTATATCAACTATACACATCAATCTTTTATTTCAATCTACTGTGTACAAATTGTGTAAAAATGCCATCAGATTCTGAAAGACTGCAGAGATGTTATCTAAATTTAGTTCCAACTGCAGACTGCACTCAAGAAATAGAGGTTTATAATTAGTTTTAGAAAGATAATAGTCATTCATTTTTAAAAGCATTAAGCATCTGTGTGTGTGTGTGTGTGTGTGTGTGTGCGTTGGCGGTTCCTACTTTCAGTGTGGTGAACATCAGTCCCAGCTCTCCGTGCTGAACGTTGGGATCCATTAAATCTTCTATCAGACTGACCTCAGCTCCCAAGTTCCTGATCCTGGAGAATAAAACACAAGTTCAGTCGCCATCCTGCAGCGTCTGCTCACACAACTCCACGTTAGAAATATAATAAGTAATAACTGAATGTGAACACACCGCGCCCTGAGTACCACGAAGAGGAAGAGAGGGAGCAGGTCATCCATGCACCACAGGAAGTTGTCGTCCAGCATAGGTTTTACTTCCTGGGTCAACTCGTCAAACGTCTTCTGGATGACGAGGAGTTTGTCTGACGGAGTGAAGGTGGTGCTGCATGTGTGGGGAGACACTTTTATATTTATTCATACACATAAAAACCCTTTTAGTTTAGTTTAGAGGAAACTCGCTGCCCCAAAAGGTGTCAAAAGGCACCACTTACTCCCGTCTATGTATCACACTGTAACTAAACTGTACCATGTCTAACTATTACCAACAACTCTTACTTTTGGAGTTTATTATGAGTGGGACATGGCTTCAATCAGGGTAAAATGAGTATAAACAACACCACAAGCACATTCGGCTGTATTCAGTTGGGTTCCATGAGAGTCTGGACTCTAATCACACTGTGTTGATCGACATCAGGTCACATTTACTGACATTATTAATGAAGTTACGTCAGGTAACGTGGCAGCTACCTGATTTGTTGGAGCGTCTCTACAGCGGAAACAAAGCAGGCGTCTTTACTGCTCGACACAATCTGAGACAAAGGTGAAGAGAAAAAAAAAAGTTATAGAGCACCAATGTGTGTGAGCGGTGGACGGGGGGAGTGAAAGCTTGAAACTGGCAGAAAATAGCACATTTTAGTATCTGACCTGCTTTTTCTCTCCCAGAATTGACATCCAAACAGGCCAGAACTTCCTGCAAGAGACAAAAAACAACAACAGACTGTAACAACAAGAAGAAAGTGTGTGTGACGACTACACAGCATTTATAGACGGCATCTGTGGGTGTACAAACACACTCACTCCTTCACTCCCAGGAAGCTGAGCAGGGACTGGTCGGGCTGTTTGTTGAGTCTGAGGATGCGGTCCCAGTACTGGGCCTCCTCCTGCTCCTCCTGCAGGCAGTACAGGGTAAAGAGTGGAGGGTAGAGTCGAGGGAGCAGCAGAGGGAGGAGCAGAGAGGAGCAGCACACCACCAAAACACTGCTAGAGGAGGAGGAGGAGGAGAGAGTAAGAGAGATGAAGGTTCTACATACTGTCGATTTTAAAATAGCTATATGAAGATGGACAAGCTGACAAAGAAGTTCATGTTTCAAACAGTGAAAGACGAGTCTTGTTCGGATGTCTTCTCTCTCTGTGTGTGTGTGTGTGTGTCTGTGTCTGTGTGTGTGTCAGTCACACCCACCCTTGCTCTACACTGTTAGAGTTGTGTCTGCTTTTAGATGGCGAGGCAGGAGGGTCTGGGATGATGCCGCCATCATCTGGTAACCCCTGAAACAGAAACCTGCAACAATTTATGTTATTCAGTAAAGTGAGCTGGATGTAGTTCTTTGTTTTTTAAACGAAATTGTAGTGGATGTACTCTTATAAACAGAATAGGCTGAATATACCATAAAACTGAGGGTCAACTTGACTCTACAAAAGATTTTTAACAAGTGACCAAAAGAGAAAACTCAGAACTTAAATGTACCGGACAATGCTGTAGAAATGTGTGAGGTAGGCCTGAACCTCCTGGACGGCCTGCCTGAGCAGCCTGCGGTTGGATCCCACACCGACGTAAGTCATCCTGTAGACGGTCACCAACGTCTCCACCAGCCAGCCCAGAGGGTGGAGAGGAGTCTCACACGCCTGACACACACACACAAACACAGACACACACACACACACACAGACATGCAGACAGACAGTATTACACCAACAGAACCACAGACGAACGAACAGATATTGTTTTCCTCGATTCAGTGTGAGACAAACAACAACAAGGTACTTCTGTTAAAGGTACCGCCCCTCTTCACCTGTTCTCATCAACCAAAGCCTGATAGATTTCTACTTACATGTATACTCAGTTTATTAGGTACAGCTAGCTTAAACAGTCTAATAGAACAGTCCTGAAATAAATCCAACCTTCATGAAGGTTATAATGTTCAGTTTTTGTTTATTAAAAGGTGTCAGTTCAACTTCATGGAGGATGTAGGTTGTGGTGGAGCTACTGAATTGTATTACATTACACTGAGAGGTATTTATAATATTGTGTCTACCAGATTATAACAATAAGGGTACAATCTATTATTTCTCGATCTATATATATATACACAATGCTTTCTAGCTGACAGATCAATGAACAGATTGTTATAAAGAGTTTCAGACACACACAGTTTCCCCTCACAGCTGTACCTTGATGAGGTATCTCCGTATGTTGTCGTAGTTCGCGGTGTTGACCGGTTCTCCGTGCTGAGGAATAAACTCCAAACACTCCAACACTTTGGTCTGAGACCGGCTGAGGTCCGGGCTACAAACACACACAAATACATCTGTAAGAAAGGTATGATACAGTTTACATCTGCCTGCCTGTGTGTTGCTCTACGTACCTGTGTCGCCGTGCAGTCGTTATAGTAACAGCGATGTTGTCCCAGGCCGTCGTCCTCTCTCCTCTCCCAGCGCCGTCACAGCCCAGCCGACTCCAACATTCATCAAACACACACAGCCACCTCTGAGCCGCAGGCACCACGTACTGACCCAACCTGCTGCACGGGCACACATTTTAAACGTTAAACATGAGCTCTAGATGACACAAACTTGAATACCCCTGTCGTGTTTTCAATAACACTGATGGCAAACACAGAGAATATATCACAGGAAATGAATACACACAAACTGGTTAATTCCAGGTTTAAAGGAGTACAAATTAAAACTCACAGCAGGCAGTTTCTCTCCTTGTTGTCTGGTTCATCGACGACTGGTTTGGTGTACGTCCCGACCACCTTCAGCCCCGCGGTCCACTCGCCACTGAACATGCCCTCCAAGCAGTCTCCGTTAGCCAGGGATAAAACACCCTGAAGAGGAAGGGAGTAACTCCTTTTCTCATTATTCATGTTCATTCACCGTTAAACTTGTACAAGAGTTACTGGAGAGCAGGACAGACATAGAACCAGAGCACACAGATAAAAGGGGTCAGAGATGCTTTCTACCTTCCCATTGACAATCCAGTCGTCAGTAAACTCCCCGTGGAGAGCTGTGTCGTCATCTGACACCAACAGACCTGGCCCCTGATTAAAAAACACACACTGCATCAAAGTCAAATATTACGAATGTACAACGATCAGGACTGGGTCCACTGATTACATTTGTTCATAACTAAAGAAGCCTATTATAGCTGTGACTGAAACCACTGTATCATTAAATATATCCCCTGCTTTTAGAAATCTATTATTTCACAGTGAATTTATTTCTGAATTGACATAAAAATAAATTTTCAGAAACTAAACCCTTGTTTTAGTGGAATTTCATGGTCACACAGACTCACATAGAAGTAAACATAGATAGAAGTAAACACAGTAATTTAACAATTACACATATAAATTATCTGATTCACCGTCAGTATGAAGTCATTTGTTAACTACAGTTGATATGAAAAAAGTCGAAGCTCATCGGCACCACCAGCTGTTTTTAAGTGGCACTACACATCAGAGCATCCATACAAGTTGCTCTTAAATATAGTTAACAAAAAGAAATGTGACATGATAAATATAATAGCTTAATATAATATAATAAGTTTAGCTGAATTAACTTATATCATAATATTTACTGGGCCACATTGGGCCTGTAGTTCCTCAAACTGTTGAGGACAGTTGAATGATGAAGAGCGTACTTCAGGGTGAACTTACACTCATCTTGTTGTCTCTGAAGGTCCCTTCATAGTACACACCGTACTGGGTGACAACCACAGCGCTGCCGTGCCGCTGCTCGTCCAACCACAGTCCCATGTACTTCTCTCCTCTGGGGAGGGAAGACACATGAGAGCGGTGACTGACAAACAGCTGTGTGTCTTCTTGAACGACATTTAAATTCACTCACTGCACATTTAACACTGTCAGTGAAGTATTTAAACAAAACTGGGCTAATTATTATTAAACAACAGTACAATCAGCCTCCAGGGTTAAAACAAGAAGCGTTTAAAGGAAACCTTCTAGGGAGGGAGCGTATACAACAAGTGAATCTACCTGGTGATATCATCGTATACTCCGTATCCTGTCTTCTTGTCATGGACCCAGTGGCCAATGAAAACACTCGAGGACTTCTTGGCCAGCTTACCGGAGCTCAGCATGCCGTAACCGTGCCGCTGCCCGTCACTGAAACAGCCCTCGTACACCTCGCCACTGGCATACCTGGGTAGATGTGTGGAGCAAGGCACTAAGACTTTCAGGGTTGTGGGATTCAAAACTCAGCGCTGTGGAGAAGTGACGTAACGCTCCAGTCCAATCATTGGTGACTAAAGACTGAACTAAATATTGTTGATGAAGACATAAACTCTGACTTTATACACTGGTTTATTTGTCTTGTGCTACTCTCTACCCAAAAGCCAGAAGAAAACGGTGTACTGACTTGTACTTGCCGAAACCATGGATCTTGCCATCTCTCCAGTGTCCTTGGTAGCTGTCTGGCTTATTCAGCACTTTGTTAGGGATTAAACACTCTCCATAGCTGGAAAAAAAGATAAATAACAGTTAAGACAACAAATAGCAAATCATTCAGCTGGTTTCACAGTTTCAGGCCTTCTGGATGTTTAAAATGTAGAAGCAAATGAAAGCCTTACCCATCCTCCAGTCCATTCTTAAAGTTCCCGCTGTAGGTCCGTCCATCTGGCCACTTCATGGTGCCTCTGTACAGGCAAATATACGTTTATCATCCAGCTATTTGCACGTAAGTCAGTTTTACACTCTATTTATGGCTCTTTATTTAGCAACAAAATTAGCACCAGCAAAACGCTTCTTCTTACCAGCTTAAAAAATATCAATGCTATTCTCTTGAATGAAAGTTTGAACATTCACGAGCCAAAAACGTTCATTTTTCACCCTTGACTACCAGGTACAATCAACTTAAACCTTAATTCTGAGAAAGACTCAATTAAACAATGCAGGAAATTGTAATCTCACAGTCCAGGCCGACCCAGCATGTACCGTACAGCACACTGTTCCTCTTTGCCCCACAGATCTCTACCGGTTTGATGGCTGAACAAATGTCATCGTCCTGAAAGCATCTTATGGTTCTTCACCTATGGTTTTGTATTCTTCAACTAATTCATAGATAAATATGTTGACTTTATTGTCCACCTCAGTACATACATTACAAACAGCACAACACACCGCTAAAAACATGATATATGCACAACGTACAACAGTGCTAATGGGCCGGTAGCAGCATATCGGTTGTATGAATAGTACCAAAGCATATCATGTTTCCCTAATGCAGTCATTCTGTGTCCAAAGCCTGTATGGCAAAGGGAATAAAAGACCTCTTGTACATGACCTGGCTGGTCCTTGGGACGCTGAAACAACGACAGGAGCAGCTCAAACTTTAGTGTAGTGTGGGATCTGCAGTTATATGATTAGCCCGTCAACCTTTCCAGCAATATTAACAATTTTAGAGAGCTTGTTTTTGCTCTTTACCCTCACACTGCTCGTACCAAGCTGTTGTTTTAAATGATAAAATGTTTTCAACAAGGCTAACACTTTCAATACTCAAGAGTTGTGTAGTGGGCTGATGCACTTTTATGAACACACCCATATGCAAACATGAATCATCACAGACTGTAACACTCTAACAGAGATGGTGGACAGTGATATCGACACACACACACACACACACACACACACAAAGAGACAAACATCTCTAACCTGCCATGAACTCGTCCTGCCAGCCACCCCCCGGTGTACTGGGCGTCTTTAAAGCGTCCCTCTCCAGTGAACTGGTAGGAGGCCGTGCGAGATATTCCCGTCACCCCTGGCGACGACCCCTGGCCTCCACCTCCCAGCACCTGATCCAACGCCTGGTTAATAGATCGGAGCCACTTGTTCTGGAGAGAGAGAGATTCTGAATTAAAGGTGACGATCATTCAAAATATTATGATTTCAGTGCCTCCTGAATAAAGTCGACTTATAAAAAAGGGACATACAGTATTCTTGGAGGTATACCTGAGTATTGGTGTGATTGGCCATTGTTGAAACCCACACAAACTACAAGCCCTGATACCGTATTTGCTCCCACAATAACGTGCTCCACCTTATTAGAACCTCTCGTCACTCAAACCACAAAAATAAGTTGGTCACACCCTGATTTGTATCTCCAATAAGTTTAGTCCAGTTAAGGAAAAGAAGTTAAATCAGACTTAGATAACAGCTGGGTCTCTATATCTGTTTATCTGTTAAGTACAGTACACTTAATAGAAATGTGCTACGCTTTTGCTGTTTAGGAATAATGTTGAATCACTGAATCATTATTAATTTACAAATCAGATCACTACTGATCATCCTGAATTACAAGTGCGTAAACCATAAACGTACCTTCTCTTGTGGAGTCGTTGCCACCAGAGTGAAACTCTCCTCTGGACATGTAATTTTGATGGCATAGCTGGAGAGACACACAACGAAAGGACAGTAATAAACTTGATCTGTATATAATATTTTAACAAAAAGCAAAGTATAGCAGCATACATTAAAAAGGCAGTGAACAAAAAAGTTTTGATAATCTGGAAGATAAATCCAACATACTTACAAATGCTTTTGGGAAAATAAAATTGGGTAGAAATTACGCTTAAGAATTTAGTTTTAAGTAGTTTACTTGTCTCAAGTACAATCGAAGAAACAGCCACGGCCAGATGTTCTAGCTATCGTATGAATATTTTTTTATATCCGTGACACAGACATCGACCTTCACTCCTTATAGTTCTGGTATGAGCCAAGCAGCAATCAAGGGGCGACGTTGAATGTTCAACAGTGCTGAAGAGCCCAAAACGCAGTTCATCTACTCGCCACTAGATGCTCAGTCAATGAAAGGAACTAATTTTGACTTCTTCCAATATGTGTCGCTGGGAAAATGCTTCCAATAACTGTGTTTATGGTTTAAAGAGTGGTATGTTTCATGCCAAATTTATTTTAAAAGACAGCCGTAGTGTTTGCTGCTTGCTTCAGATCCATCTGTGGCCAAACCAACGACCTAACACGGACTTCCAGTACTTAAAAAGCCACATTCATAAAAGGGTGACAACACACTGAGTCCATGTTTTGAGGCTATAACATTACATTACTGTACATGTGATGTCTTATGTTCATTATCATAATCACCACCTCATTTTACTGTCACATCCATGAGTTTTTATTTGCATTAGTCACGTTAACTTTGACGTTCATAGTTTGTATTTTTAAAAACTCACAGTCCGCTGCTGTCTTCAGTAACTGGTTTCACCCACAGACAGGTCAGAGGATAGATGTGATGTGTGGAGAACTGCAGAGACAGAGCAGCAGTTTGTGTATTTCATCATCACAGATTACTAAATCAGTGTTTTCAGGATATTACCAAATCCAGATTGTGCATGTGTTAAACAGATCTGCCTCTTAGTCTCAGTCTTTAGTCTTTTGTAGTAAATAAAGGAAGTTACACAAAACATTGGTGATCTCAGTTTTACTGTATGTGCATGTGAGGAAGATGTCACTGTACATCACTTACTGATTCTATTACAAAAATCACATATTTGTCAACAGTTTCCTTCACAGACTTTTGACCTTCACAGTATTTGAGTAATGTTTCCACTTCTGTTCTTTTATTGAAAGTACAGGAGAAACAAAACCAGAACACGCAGAACAAAACTAAACTAAACTGAAAGGACCAGTGTGTAAGATTAACCATCTAGTGGTAACTAACTAAACCCGTTCACGTCCGTCTTTGACCGGGGAATAAGAACGCGCTGTGTGTTGGAGAAACTACGGTGGCCATGAAAGGCCCCATCGAAAGCCAGTGTTTGTCTGTTCTGGGCTACTGTAGATACATGAACCATTGAAGGTCGGTAATTTAAAAGCAGCCTCGTTCTAAGGTAACAAAAACACAATGATTCATATTTTCAGGAGATTATCCACTAATGAAAACATACCTATGAATATTATATTCCATTTCTAGAAATAGATCCTCCTAAATGTTACACTGTGGACCTTTAAATTAATTTTAAATAAATATTTCTCAAAGCATACATTGGGTTTTTCTATTGATTGACTGATTTTAAGTTAGTTTCAAGTTGATTTGCACTATATACTTGAATTTAACTAAAAAAAAGGCTGATTTGTTGATAAAAACATTTGATTTGCTCATTTCTTAACACTTAACTATTAAATTAAAATGTACATACATTCATCAAAGGTCTACTACACAACACAGAACATGAACCCAACACCACAGAGAGAGAAACAGACCAGTTTCACCACTAACTATCTGCTGTCTATAACCCCACAGCAAACACAGGGCACACAAGCTGTTAGTCAGGGATCACTACAACAAAAAACAGAGGACAAGACGACAGTAAATATGTTGTCATCTGGGCAGCGACAGACAGTCTTCTTGTTGAGAGCAGCTGATGTTGTCGTCTCTGGTATCAAATGCATTTTTAAAGACAGACTGCAGTGCAGAGTTGCATCTTTTCACCAGCATCTTTATGCGCTCTGAGCTACTGCAAACTATGACCTCATCTATTTTCACATTTAAAAAAAAAAAAACACCCCAATACACACACACACACAGCAGCCTGTTTGGTAGCGGCTAAAGCTCAGAATCAGCCACCAGGACAACATGCAAAAAATAAATGTTAACACAAAACATCTGCGATGTTAAGGGTTGCAGTATTACAAAGCCTCGATATTCCTTCAGTTAGTCTAAACAAAATATTAGAAACACCCCAGAATAACACAATACTGAGGGTTTCAACAAAAACTGAACTTTATACCTTCAATGAAAGCTCTTGGACTGAAGGACATTAGCTTGAGCTCGAAGTTCCAACTAAACTGGAAATCAGCATCTGGATGGGAGGTGTTAACAGTCCCTTTAACATTACATATAGTCCTGTGTTAACATCTATTCAGTTGTCCCATGTGAACCTGTCAAAGTGTAAGCACTGAACAGAGGCCAGCACACCCATGCTGCTGCAGCACAAAGCTCAGTGTGGTTAAACTGGCTGGTTGGTTGGTTGGAGGTGAAGCTGGGTAAACTGATGTCAGATATACTTACGAGGCTCTGAGAGGGAATGGTACCCTGAGTGATTGAAAGATACAAATATAAACTTAATCTGTGAAATGCTTGGAAAGAAACACCAGGAAAACAGAGACACACACACACACACAGATCGAGTGGAAGCTTTATCTGACATATAAACAAAGATAATAAAGATCCTGGGGACGTTAATGTTTAAACAGTGAAAGTTCACTTTAAAGTAAAAGTAATCCGTTTTTTTGGACAGATTTTTCTATGTGTGTGTGTGTGTGTGTGTGTGTGTGTGTGTCTACCTGTGTGTGCACCAGTGCGTCATTGAACAGCATGAACCAGTGGTTGGAGAAGCGGCCGGCGTTCTGCAGAGTCAGACTCCTGTTGCTGCAGTCACACACCAAACGGCGCTGTGGGAGACGCAGGACCTCCTGATGAACAAACACACGTGTGCATTTGCTTTTTAAATTCTGTTATTAACCAGGTGAGCAGATTCAGTAGAGGGACAAGCTGCATTAATGAATCAGACCGAGAGAAGTCTATAAAGACATTTAACATTTGTAATTTAACGGTGAAATGATCTTTTATCTACATTATCACCGCTGTCCGCTCCAATCCTCCCACTTTGGTACCTTTAACTTATATTTCACAAACGTTTGAGGGGACCTTTGTTATTATTGTTTGTCCTTTCGTGCTTTTATCCGTGCTTATGTGATTCTTTTAATTCTTTCTTCTTTTAATGTTACTGATACGCCATCAACCTGCCAGGGACTGCAGATGAAAATTAGCCTGTATGACTAAATCTGGCACATTTACATAGTGGACTTAAATCCTTGTGTTATAATGAATGTCCCTTTTAAATAAATAAACTTCAAACCTAGTTTTCATTTGAGCACTGACACATACTGTATGTACGTACCTACATATATATCTACTTGCTCTCTGATTATTACAGCTAGTAGACTAAATAAAACCACCCTGTGCTATGTCTTTGCTCTGAGTTGTGCCCTCCAGCTTGATAAAACTTGCAGACGACAACCCCAATCTCACCCCTGATCATCACAACCTCACCTATCAGGTACCCTTAAGTGTTGTGACTTACTGGTTGAGCAAATGCTCCCAGTCAAGGGCAATAAAACTCTCTCTTTGTGAATAATATCTGATTTAAAAGAGCGAACAGAAAGCCATGTTTGGTAAATTAAACATTCCCTGTGAGCAGGAGAGCAGTTAAATACGTGTAAATACATGTCATAAGCAGAGTAGCTTAAGTGGATTAAGACTTCAGAAATGATTTTCAGGAACATAACAAACATAAGAACGTGTATCGTAGTTTTCTCTCCTCAACAGTAAAATCAGGAATGTGAGCAGGTTAGAATAAGTTAACACAGAGTTGTGCTCACAGTAGTTTTTCCAGAATGAGTCTTCCAGAAGAGGAAGGTGGTTTCAGCCTCCTTCTTCTTCCTCAGCAGGGACAAAGACAGCGACTCGTACTGAGTACAGCCCTGATGGAGGGTCTGATACTCTGTAGTTAACTGGGTGAAAGAAAGAAAAGGTGAGACAGCTTTAATTGTACTTACCTCTTACAAAACCTCCACTAGCAGAACACAGTTCAAAATAAACCGTACACTCAGCAGCAGAACGACTTCTCCATTGTTGTAAATATGATGAAGACTGACCAAGACTGCAAAATCCTCTATATCTGTTAGAAAATGAGTCTACAGTGTCAGACAATAACATATCCATGTCAATGTTAAAATCTACCACTGAAAAAAGCTAAATTCTCTCCAGATGTTAGTTTATTATGTTAAATGTATTTAATTTATCCCTAAATAACTCAACAACCAAGTTTTTTTATTATGTTAATGTTCAAGCTACAGCATCTTTGTTTAAATGTGATGGTCAGTCAGGAGAATACATTCGAATCAATACAGTGACAGTACTAAGTTCAAATATATCCCGAATTACTCAATCGTGGGAAATAAAGACATTTAGAAAAAGAGAGTGAAAGAGGGAAAAGAAGGAACACAGAATGAGTGAAGTGCTTTGACAGAAAGAAGAAGCATGAACGGAGAGAGAGAGAGAGAGAGTTTCCTCCTCACCACATCGTAACAGGCGGCCAGTTTGAGCAGCACTCGGCTGTACTGGTGGAGCTGCTGCAGAGGCCAGTACAACAACGAAACCAGGTCAACATCACCACTGACAGACTGGTCTGATACGCACAGCTGAGCGAGCGTGGTCTGCTGAGAGCCTAAACACTCACTGGACAGAAAGAAATACTTAAATATCTTCAGTATTCTCACCTAAATACGTGTCTGTGACTATTTCCTGCTGCACAGGAAGTGATGTGATTATATCTTGTGGTTTGTTTTGGAGAAAAATATCAGAAGAACTGGTTATTTAGCATGAGCACGATCATCAGCCTTGTTAATAAATCCTTTCCTACTAATATTAACTCCGTGTTTGGACCTAAAAAGCACTGCTGATGTCTCCTTAATATGAATGTGGAGTCATATGTTTTGGAGAAAGGTCACTTGAGGAGAGCAGTCAAGTGAAAACATAAAGAGAAAGTAAAGGAGCTTACAGTGAGAGTTTATGGAGTGATTGGAATCCACCCATCACCTGGAAGTTACCTACTGAAGAGCAATACCTGCAGAGAGAGACGGACACAGAGAGAAGGAGAGATTTTAATAAGGATATTAATTCACGTACAGTCTAAGAATGTCCTTGTGAAAACAGCCTCTATCTCACATCAGCCACATTCTTACTATCTACTATCAACAGAAACTGTAAACTGTCATTTTATTTGCTCTGGAAAAACATTGTCATCTTCTCGGACTGTGTCTTAAACCCACACACAACAGATTGTCCAAATTCTTTCTAAAAGCCAAAAGAGCAAAAGAAACAAGCAAAGTTTGCCTTTACTTGTAATTTCTAACTGTTAAATTATATGTAAAATAATTAGAGCAACATTCTTTTAAGGTCGTTTGTGTTCGATGACAGAATAATACATTTTCTGTAAAATAAAAACTCAAAACAAAACTTGCAGATATTCTACTACGAGAAATAAAGTGGGATGAAACATAAAGTAAATGAGAAAAGATAAGAGTGACACTGGACAGAAGAAAATCTGCAAACGCAGGGAGACAAAAACAAATGAAAACTGTGTATTTGTAATAAAAAACA